AATGATGAAAAATGCCTAAGAACTAAATAAATGGATAGATATTCTATGTTTGTGGGTGGGAAGATTCAATAATGTCACTGAGAATGATAAGGAAAATGATCTTCAGGGACTTCAGACATCAAATTTTAGTACCCATTAAAATCAGAGGAGGATATTGAGTCCATACTCTCAGGTCTCACCTCTTCCTGTGTTAGTGATTTCAAAGGCTGAGTAGGGCCCTAGATCTGCACTTTTTTTTAGGTTGTGTGTCAGGGGACATAGGTATGTGTCGGCGGCATGGTACTGGAGATGTTTTCCCTCTGAGCCACATCCCTGTCCCATTTTTTTTTTTTTTTGAGACATAGTCTTACTAAATTGCTTAGGGCCTTGCTAAGTTGCCAAGGCTGGTCTAGAACTTATGATCTTGCCTCATCTCCTGAGTCGCTGGGATTACAGGTGTGTGCCACTGTGTCTGACTATGGTAAATGTATCAATGATGTTTTCAACTTATGGTATTTTTTTCTTTTAATATATATTCCAGAATTTGCTAAATTGTTTTTTTCCCTCCCGCCTGAAAAGGCCCTGTGAGAGAAATAAAGGGAGAAAAATTGATCTGTGAAAAGTGGGAAATATAGCCAGGCACAGTGGTGCCTGCCTGGCTTGAGGGGCTGAGGCAAAAAGATCGTGAGTTCAAAGCCAGCCTCAGCAACTGTGAGGCACTGAGCAAGTCGGTGAGACTCTGTTGCTGAATAAAATACAAAAAAGGGTTGGGGATGTGGCTCAGTGGTTGAGTGCCCCTGAGTTCAATCCCCAGTAGGGAGGCGGGGAGAGAAGGTGGGAAATGTGCTAACAATGGGTGAAATAGATGGCTTAACTACTTACTGTGGGTTTGTCCTGAAGAGACACAGCTGTGTCCTCAGGGAAGTATGTGCTAGGATGCAAGATAAAATGGATTGTTAGGGCCCTAGCAAGGTTATTTTTAAATGAAAGCATAGACATTGGCAATGGCAAAGCCCTCTCAGGTTATTAAGCTTTCCTTCCCAATTACCCTTTCAGTATGTGGCCGTCCTATATTCTGGCATTAAAACCATGCAATACAAATTTTAAGTAGGATCATTATAAATAAATATTTTCTTTCAAAAACTGCTTTGGAGGGCTGGGGATGTGGCTTAAGCGGTAGCACACTCGCCTGGCATGCGTGTGGCCCGGGTTCAATACTCAGCACCGCATACAAACAAAGATGTTGTGTCCGCCAAAAAACTAAAAAATAAATAAAACTGCTTTGGAGTAAAGGGCATTTCTTAATTAAATTACTCAATCCTGTTTTTCAGTTCTAAAAATATTTTAAGAGTTTGGGGTGGAACATCAGCCTCTATTAAGGCAGATTGTCTATGAGAGAGGAAACCAAGAATTAGAATTTAAAATAATCTGATTTCAACCATGAGACTAGTTGAAATAACACTGAATTTTGAATCCTAGGGTGTAACCTGTTAATTTTTATTGTTTTAGTGATCTTTTGCAGAAATAAAACTTCAGGAATGTTTGGGTTTTCTTATGCCAACTGACAAGTAGTTAAAATAGATTGTAAGCACTCTTGTTCATGGAGTTTCGGGTTTGGGGTTTCTGCTCATTACTGAGACTATTAGGCAAATAAAATGACACATCTGAGATCGAGTGCTTTTTGTAATCCAAGAGGACTGGAGTAGTTTATCCTAACAATTCATTTTCATTCAACAGGCATTTATGAAATTCTCACCCATAGAAGGTGGTGGGAGGCAGAAAATAAGAAGGCAAATTCTCTTCTCAGGACCGGCATCCAGGAAGGAAGTTGTGTGGGGGAAGTCATTGTGGTACTTATCTCTCCCCGGGTATGAAGGCCAGGGTTGCTGGGTGTTTTAAAAGCTTCAGGGAGGAGATGGTGCCCAGGCAGGACATGAAAGATGAGGAGGCAATAAAAAAAAAAAAATAGATCAAGAAAGAATTTATAGGATGGTATACTTGAAATAACCTCAATAAATTGATTAAAACTTAAAAAAAAAAAAAAAAGATGAGGCATTACCAAGGTAGATAGCAGCCAAGAGTAAATCCTCAGAGACTCAGTTTTTCTTCTACCTCTCATTTGCCAAATATCAACATTAAAAGAATGTTGTCTATAGTGAAGGCTCATAATATATCTTGAGCATACTTGACATCATTTAAAATGTAGGTTCAATGTAAATGTGGAGTTAAATTTGAAAGAGATGGCTTTGGTCTACGGTTAGGACAATGGGAGGATATTTGGTCCTTGAGTTTGGTCAAATCTGTGATTTTGGCTTCCTGAGTCTATGTGCTGGATACTCTGCTGTATTTCAGGGAACTAAGTCACTTTAAAAAACACAGCTGAAACTAAAATTGGTTTTTGTTGTGCTTCTATTCCTGGTACAAATGTCCCTGAGTCTGCTTGCTGTGAAGTTTCATAGTGAGGTCCCTTCCTTCTCCCACTCTGATGTCCTCTATGAACATAAAGAGGAAATTTTAGTAGAGGGGAAAGCAATACAAATGACCAGATTAGCTAAATGCTTAAAATAGCACTGGTTCATCTCTTTGTTGCGCTTGCTACACAGTAATCAAGTATTTCTCTACTGCTTGTTCTCTTCCTTGCCATAGTTCATAAACACTGTACATCAGGGTCTGGGTCTCTATTCCACTACGTTGGGCCCTAACTCCACATCCTTAGTTGGTACTCCATAAAGATTTGTTGGCTGACTGAAAGGAATGAAATACAAAGAACATATTGTTTCAAATGAATGGAACATAATTTAAAAAGTACTTAATCAGAATTTTATCCATCAACTGTAAACACTTCTTCAGGTTTTTAGGCAAATGTTCATAACTCCCATCACTTCCTCTATCTGATTTACTGTGTCTCAGTGGCTCATCATTTCTCTGAGGACAATCATTTATTCCCTGTTTTGTTCACTGCACCCCAGAGCCTGGAACATTCAGCACACCATAGATGCTTAGTAAGTGTTTGCCAAATGAATCTATATTACAGCAGCTATTTTGCATAATTGTGTTCAATCTTGAACGCAAATACCACGAATTGTATTTTATTCCAGTTTCTGAAACTGATGCCTATACATAGTTCCTATTAGATATTTTGGTTTAGGTTCTAGCAGCTTCTTTTACACTACTGGATGCCTGATCTCATATTTACACTGGCACCTTGTCTTGTTGATGGGTTAGTTTTTGTTGTTGTTGTTGTTGTTTTGTTTTTTAAAAATATTTTTAGTTGTAAATGGACACAATCTTAATTTTTTTATGTGGTGCTGCGAATCAAACCCAGTGCTTTACACATGGTAGGCAAGCACTCTACCACTGAGCCACACCCCCAGCTCATGTTGCTGTTTGTTTTGTTTTGTGGTACAGAGGATTGAACCCAGGACATCACACAGATTAGTTAAACATTGCACCACTGAGCTATGCCCCCAGATTTCTTTTAAAAATTCTGTTTTGGGATAGGGTTTTGCTAAATTTCCTGAGCTGACCTTGAATTTTTCATCTGCCTGTCTCATCCTCTCAAAGTAGCTGGGATCACAGGCATACACCTCTATGGCTGGCTGTTATACAGTATGTAATTTTTAAAGGTAACAATCTAAGATCTAGGATTCATAAACTGGCAGTAGTCCTGGGACAGGAGCAACAGTGCTGTTTGTTCAGCACAGTGGTCTGAATTGTTTTGACTCTGAGTGAAATCCCTGGGCAAGTCTTTCACCTTAGATAGCTCACCACTCTTCGTTTGCTTCACAATGATGCTTTCTTTCAGTATAACAATTATAATCATTTAATTTTTGTGTTTCTTTGTTTATTGTCAGTCTGCCTGTTGAGACTGTGAACTCCATGAGGTCAGACAGCTTATCTACTATGTTCATTGCCTTACAGCCGAGTCTTAGCCCAGGGCCTGGTACCCAGTGGCACTTGAGTGGACACATGAATGACAACCAGGACCTGAGATGATCCTAGGTGTGGATACAAAGTAATAAAGTTGGTCTTTTTCTAGCCATATTTACATATGAACTGCCCATAAAGCTGCCAAAGTGACTGCCATTGCTTAGAACACTCATGAAATCCTCTGTGGAAATTGCCTTCTTTCAGTCAGTTTATGAGTCAGCACGTTGTTCAGAATGTTCACATTTACAAAGTATGCTTTCCTATGTATTTTGTCATAGAAACAATCCATTTTGACATGAGAACTCTTAGTCATGGTTAGAGAATAAATTTATGTGTGTCCCATAATAAATAGGTGTGGGGTGGCCTTGAACTTGGTTCTGGTGCCAATTTGGTGCTTTTTTTCTACTTTTCCAAGAACAGAAAGTGCTTTGTTCAGTCTTTATCCAGAGGGGCCTGTTCCTCTTGTGTGTTTTCGAGGAAAGAGGGTGAGATCATTCAGCATCTTCCAAAAACACTAAATTCACTTGTATGTCAGTGTGTGTAAGTAGCCATAGTCAGTGCCGGGTTAAAAAACTGAAAACTGAGCTGGGCTTGGTGGCACATGCCTATAATCCCAGTGGCTCAGGAGGCTGTGGCAGGAGGATCGTGAGTTCAAAGCCAGGCTCAGCAATTTAGCAAGGTCCTAAGCAATTCATCAAGACCCTGTCTCTAAATAAAATCCAAAAACAAGCTGGGGTTGTGGCTCAGTGGTTTAGTGCTCTTGGGTTCAATCCCTGGAACCAACCAAACAAACAAAAACCCAGAGAACTAAGACTTTGGACTATAATAAATGGTCAATCTCTGCATGGTGCTATGCCTCGGTGTGGTCACTGTGCTTCCCTGCAGAGGCTGAAGCTGAGCTTTGGCACCTTTCTTCCTGCCCTTCCTGGATGGGATTACTGGGAAGTGTGTGCCCAGTGCATTAGTGGAGAGCAGAGGTCACTTGAACAGGGTTCCTCTTCCCAGAATTGATAACTCTGTTTCTGCTGATGCCAGCCTACTTTCCTTTAAACCAGAGGCCCTCAGTCTGCTATTCCAAATACTACCCACAGGCCACTCATCTCTGGCTTGTTCCAGCATTCCAAGGAGGTGCTGTGGACTTCAAGGTATCTTCTGGTTCCCAGTCCCACGGTCAAAAGACCAGAGAAGACACTGGTGCTGGGACCCACCACTGACAAAGTAGCTGCCATCTTAGGTATAATATTGTTCTTTCTTTCTAGTTGAAGACAACTTTGGCTGCTGCTTCTCAGAAAAGAGCAGCTTACTCTGCTTTTACTTTGTGAAAACAGATAAAATTTGCAGATATATTTTCAGATACTGGTCATAAACATGTCACTTTAAGTAGTCCAGCTGATTAGAATTGGTCATCAGTTATGAAACATAAGGGTAGGTGTAGGTTTGTATGGACAGGATCCTAAATGCTTTTGCTGATACTGAACCACTCCTTGCCATGTGACTTCAGTGTCCTGCTTTCCAGTTGGAACACACTCTGCCCTTTAGCCTAATTTTCTTGTAACATGACAAATTGTCTCATGACTCATCCTTCTTACAGACCTGAAATGATGCTTTTTAAAACTTTCAAATATTTTTAGATTCTCAGGTGTAGTTATTTAATTTTTATGTTGTGGCTTCTGAGTTGATTTCAATTGCCTGTTTGTATTTTGTTTTATATGTGTTTTTTAATTGTATGAGAGACAAAAGGAGTTTTAGGAACAGATTCCATCTGTGAATTACAATGGAGAATTTTAGTTAAAGTATGCTAATCCATAAAGGATGACATTTCTGTTCAGAGTTGATCTTAGGGTGATAGTCTCATTTCTGATTTGAGGTTCTGAAAGCACTTGACCTTTTGATGGGAAATAAGGGAGCAACTGAATCCAAAGTCACAGAGAACCCAGGAACTCTGCTTGGGTCTGAGAAATACTTACCCTTGAAGGGATTTTCATTCTTTTAAACTCTTTTAACCTATTTCCAGAGCTCACTAATCTTGTCATATATGAAACTACAAGCAGACATCCTTAGCATGTGATCTCTGAGTTGCTCTACCTCACATCAGTTTATGTGGCTCATTACTGCAAATTCACGCCTCGAGTCCTTTCTCTGGCAGTGAAGAGTGTGGATGTGACTGTGGTGCACACACTGCATGCGTAGACAGTTTGTCTTTTAGATGATGTTTTGTTTTCTATGGAGGTATCTCCTTCCTTTTCTGACCTTTCTCTCTGTACATGTCCTTGCCCTGCTTCCTGCTATGGCTCACGATGGTGCTGGAAAGACTGTCTCTTCTTTCCATCTCCAATGCTGGAAATGATGAGCAAGATAATTTTTCCCACTCCCTTTTTTTCTTTTCTGCCACCACACCTGTCTTGTACTTTATTGTGATAATATACAAAATATAAAGTCTACTATTTTAACATCTTTAATTTGTATAGTTCAATGGCATTAAGTACATTTATAAGTGGGTATGGTTACATACCAACAAAATTATGTTTATATACAACTGAGCTATATCCCCAGCCATGGTTTACTACCAATTCTTAAGGTATGTATATGATCCTTTTTATATTGTCTAGAACCATTCTATTTTGTTACAGAAAACATGTTCTCAATGTCTAATATCTATTTATATAACAAACTAAGTTGACATTAAGGAACTGGACATTCTAACTTGACACTAAAATGCTCAGGGTTTTCAATGTATGTTTTAGTCTTCTTTGGAACATAAGATGTATTTTTTTCTTTTTTTATTAATTTTTAAATTTATCTTAATTAGTCATACATGACAGTAGAATGCACTTTGATATATCATATATAGATGGGATATAATTTCTCATTTTTCAGAGTGTACATGTTGCAGAATCACATTATACATAAAGTAATAATGTCTGTTTCATTCTACTATGTTCCTTATCCCCACACTCCCTCTCTTCTCCTCCTCTCCCATCACTTCCCTCTATCTAACCTAAGGTAACGCTATAGTCTTGCCTTCCTAGTCCATGCTCTGGCTATATATTTGAAACTAGCAGTTAATAAGCATTCTGATATGAAATACATAATTTATAAGCACATTAAAGTTCCTCTTATGCAATTTTCAAAGAAAACAGGCTTGTTTTCCTTTAACTTTGCTATAAATTATATAGAAAATTTAGTTTTAATCTGAAATGTGGCCAGTTAGGACACAGTTCCTGTCTCCTACTTTATAGTAGTCCCCTTTGATGGGAGAAGGCTCCTGGAACTTCACAGCAAGGCATTGTGGGTGATCATTGTCTAATTCTTGGCCATCATGGTAAAGCTGTTTCTGAGAGGTTGGGAAGACCTAGCAGCCTGGGCGCCCATCACTGCAGAGCAGAATAAAACTTGAGAGGTCTTTAAGAATTTGATCTTCTGGAAAGTGTTAGGAGTGCTCATTTGAACAGTTTTGTCTGGTCAGGGAAATTATGCTAAGACTGAACCTGATTCTCAAATAAATGGCTTGCTTCGATATATTTTTTTCCACCATCATCATCCTTCTTTTCCTGGGGAAGATTGGCACTGATTTTTAATTTACTGTGCATTCTGTCACCACTGTGCATTCTGTCACTACAGACAAGGCAGCTGTGCACTCTCCCCATAGACGGTGGCTGTGGACTAAGGATGGATCCTGTTAACCCCATGCCATGTTTGCCTAAGGCAAATTGATCCCCAAGGCCAGGGGACCAAGACTTGGCATGTGATGTTGTGTCAGGTGTTCAGAGAACCCTAGAAACATCTAGGACATTGTGTAGCTTTCTCTCTCTTGTTCATGTTGTAGGTTGCTGGCTTGAGTTTTGTTTTGTTTTAATTAGTTATACATGACAGTACAATGATCTTGACATAGCATACATTTGAATCAGATGGGTATAATTTCTCATTTTTCTGAGTATACAGGTTGCAGAATCACATTGGTCATACAGTCACCTATATACATACAGCAATAGTAGTGCCTATTTTATTCTGTTGTCCTTCCATTCCCCCCTTCCCCTCCTCTCCCCTCCCATCTCTTCTCTCTACCCAATCTAATGTGACTCACTTCTTTTTTTTTTTCCCTCACATCTTCATACCTGTATTCTGTACAACAAAGGGGGTCTCCTTCCCTTTTCCATGCAATTCCCCTTCTCCCTCTTTTTCCCTCCCACCTCTCTTCCCTATTTAGTGGTAGTCTTCTTCTCATGCTCTTCCTCCCTACCCCATTTTGAGTCACCCCCCTTATATCAGAGAAGACATTTGGCATTTGTATTTTGGGGATTGGCTAACTTAACTTAGCATAATCTGCTCTAATGCTGGCTTGAGTTTTAATTAGGTTGCATGAAAATGCAACTTGTTGGGAGTTTTAATTATCTTCCACTTGGGAACCTCGAAGCCTGGTTTGTTTTCATTGTGCTTCTCCCTGAAAAGGACTGAGGGACAGTTCAACACCCCACCACCCCACGCTGCCAAATTTTGTGTTGTGCTGGCCTTGGTAACATTTTCTGACACAAAAGTTGGGACATGGGATACTGACTTCTGTTTTTTCCTATTTATTAGTTAAATCAAAGGGTCTCTGAAGCTATAAAAATTAAACTACATTGAACCCTATGTAGTTTAATGAGTTTATTTCATTTGGGAAGAACCAACATTTGTAAACCTGGGACTCTTTGAGAAACCTTGGAGATCTGGCTGCTGAGAAACAACTTCCTGGACCAGGAGTTTGGGATGCTGCTGCTGCAGCTGTGTTCCCTGGGTGCTTGCCTGAGCCAGGGTCCCTGCACAAGGATTGGTTTATTACATCTCTTAACAGACCTGGGAGGTGGATTCTTGCATACCCTCATCTCAGAGATGAGGACTTTGAGGCCCAAAGCAGTTAGGTCCCATCTCTAGGGTGTAAATGGCTGGGGTAGGATGTGATAGCAGCTAGGCTGGACTTAAGCGTTCATTTTCAGGACCCCTGCTCTGCTGTCACTATGCCACAGTCAGTGTTTTCCTTGTTCTTCCCCCCTCCCCCCACAGTTAGTGCTTTTTGGGTGGGCTCAGGGACCTTTGAATTTTGGGAGATGACAGGCTGTGTACTTGGTACTTGATGCTCATGGCCTCTGGTGGAGTTGTACCTTAGCCTCAGGTTGCCAGCTCTGTTCTTCAGGTGCCCTTGAGCATCAGAAGAAGATATATACTTGATCAACAAATATATGAAAAATTGTTCAACATCTCTTGTAATTAGAGAAATGCAAATCAAAACTACTCTTGAGAATTCATCTCCAGTCAGAATGGCAGCTATAAAGAATACAAACAACAATAAATTTTGGCAAAGATGTTGGGGAAAAGGCACACTCCTACTGGTGGGACTGGGGGGACTGCAAATTTGTGCAACCAATCTGGAAAGCAGTATGGAGATTCCTTAGAAAACTTGGAATGGAACCACCATTTGACCCAGCTATCCCACTCCTCAGACTATACCCAAAGGCCTTAAAATCAGCCTACTATAGTAACGCAGCCACGTTAATTTTCATAGCAGCTCAATTCACAATAGCTAAACTGTGGAACCAACCTAGATGCCCTTCAGTAGATGAATGGATAAAGAAACTGTGCTATATATACATAATGGACTATTACTCAGCATTAAAAGAGAATGAAATCATGGCATTTGCAGGTAAATGGATAGAGTTAGAGAATATCATGCTAAGCAAAATAAGCCAAACCCAAAAAACCAAAGGCCGAATGTTCTCTCTGATAAGTGGATGCCAATCCATAACGGGGAGGGGGGAGGCATGGGAAAAATGGAGGAACTTTGGGCAAAGGGGAGGGAGAAGAGGGAGGCATATGGGGGCAGGAAAGATGGTGGAAGGAGATGGACATCATGACCCTAGATACACATATGTTGTGACACTACATCGTATACAACCATAGGAATATAAAGTTGTGCTGCAATTGTGTACAGTGAATCAAAATGCATTCTGCAGTCATACATACCTAATTAAAATAAATAAATTTTTTAAAAAGAACATGGAAAATTTACAAATCAAAATGGAAAAGTTACAAGTAATAAAATGCAGTATTTAAACTGAAAAAAAATATGTGGGTTTATGAGATGGGACATTTAGGAGGTAGATGTGGGTTTTACATAGTTCTTCCTAAGCTAATGAATAATTTAAAGCTTCCAATTTCACCAGAATTCTGTTCCTGGTTTCTAGCATTGTTCTTCCTGTGGGTTATTGTGCCCATAGCACCATTATCCAGGAGGTTGTCTGTGGTGAACCTTTGTCTTGTAGTCTTTGATCCATTTGTCAAGTGGCCTTGTAGGGCAATTCTTTCAAAGTGACAGAACATCTTGATATCTTCACTAGCTCATACCTGACCTTTCTTAAACTGTGTCTCCCCACTTATCTGTTGTAGGTACCTGGTAGAATGAGGAGCTGGGGAGGCTCTGGAGAAATAAGGAAATTAAAGGCAATTGTAGACAAAAATGGATATGTTTCCTAAGAACTGATAGCACACTGTTGCACAAACACTCATGTGGCAATCATGCTAACTAAGAATGCGTTCCTGTGCATGGCAGAGAACATGCTTACCAGCCTGAGTCGATGCTGATATTTGGCATGGGGAAGCTCTGTCCTGCACTGCATTCCTGTTGGCTATTGTAAGAATCGTTACAATTTCTTTTTCTTTCCTTTTTTAATGGTCTTGGTTGTGAAAATATGATAAAGGTTTTCAAAGGAAAATCAGGTGAGTACTGGTATGCCACCCTGTCCTATAGCACTCACCAGGTCACTGAATCCTAAGCCGAATGACACTCTCAGCTTGTTCTTGGGGGCATCTTGAGGCCTGTGGTATTGCTGTCTGTTCATGTCAATGCAGAGTGATAGAAAACAAGTGCCACCATGCTGAACAGTTGTTGTGCCCTGCAGGGTCTAGAGAGACACTCGCTGGGGCTCAGAGCTGAGGTCTGCAGAAGGGAGATCTGGGATTTGTATGTTATAGGAGAAGCCTCAGCAAATCCTCTGAGTTCTCTTCTCTTCTCACTAGTTGATTTGGTTTTGGTTCTTCCAGGAAGAGTCCGCTGAAGGAGAAGGTCATGGACTTGATGTCCTCTACTTCCATCCTGCCCCTGCTGTTAGGCTGCCTGGGCATCTTTGGCATCTATCAGCTGCTGCAGCGGATGCGCACGAAGGTCTACGTTCAGAATACTGTGGTGGTGATAACAGGCGCCACCTCGGGGCTGGGCAGAGGTGGGTCGTGGGGATGGTTGAGGTGGGGAATCAGCCAGTTGTGAGGGGGCTGTTTACACAGGGGCCACAGGAATGCAAGTGCAATCTTACTGTCTTTGGTCCAGTTGGAAAAAGTGGGGCCTTATATACAGTGAGAAACAGCCCCTGCCTCTCAGTGGGGAAGCAAAAGCAAATGACTGCAGGACCTATTGAAGGGGCAACCTTCCTAAGCTCCAGCTGCTTATTAAAAGAAGATTTTTTTTGTTGTTGTTAAGTATTGAGGATTGATCTCAGGGGCACTTGGCCACTGAGCCACATCCCCAGCCCTGTTTTGTATTTTATTTGGAGACAGGGTCTCACTGAGTTGCTTGGCACCTCAGTTTTGCTAAGGCTGACTTTGAACTCAGGATCCTCCTGCCTCAGCCTTCCAAGCTGCTGGGATTACAGGTGTGTGCCACTGCGCCTGGATGAAAGAAGGATTTTGATGTGAAATTGCCCAATTTTCAGATAGAACAACTCATTTAACAAGTATTTTTGCCTCTGTGAGGGACAAGTAAAATATGCCTTTTTTCCTAGACTCAGCCAAAACCATGGACCTTGGTACATGGCCTTGGTGCATACTCCCCCCTCTCCCTTCCCAAGTGTGGCAGAGTTGGAGACAGGATCAGTGAGACTTCAACTTTTCCTCAATGAGGTCTACCGTTCATTGCCATTCCCCTTCAGTGAGTATTCTGAGCTTCTGAGGCCTGGGGTCTGGGACATAGGCCTGGTGTCAGTCAAATCCTTGGCCTGGTTCCTTTCCTGGAATCCCACACAGATGTGTTGCAGAGCTTAGTCATTGATTCTGGAAACTTAGACAAAGAGTATGCTTCGTGAAGCTCCCTCCGTCTTCCTTAGCCTTTTTTATGTGCCCTGCATATTCAAGCACATGTCCAGGGAGGAAAGCTGAGATGTTCCCAGAACTGTAGTAAGCTTTCCTGCCACTGTGATGGCAAAGCCAGTGCCCACTGAGTATCTTCTAATCCTGAGACTCTGGGCCAAGTGCTGGACAAATAGATGAAAGACAGAGTCTTTGGGGCTGGGGATAGCTCAGTGGTAGAAGGCTTGCCTAGCCCGCACAAAATCCAGGCCTTCATCCCTAGCACTGGGAAAAAAAAAAAAATAAAGACAGGGAGGTTCCTCCTTCTTGAGGAGGTCACAGTGTGCCAGAGAAAGGCAAGGATTTATCTTGGCATACTGCCACTTCAGTAGTGGGCGTTCCCTGTCAGGCCTGCTGCCAGGACGCACATCTATCTGTACATGCCAGCTTGTGCCACACGTTTTCAGGTGCAGGGTGTCACTAAGATATCACAGCTGAGATGCTAATCACAGTACGACTTGCCTTATGACTTCCTGCCAGAAAGCACAAAGCCAAAAGTCAGACCCACATCTCTGACTCTAGAACTCTGTCCTAAAGCCTTAATTAGGGGAGTGAGGTGATGACTATAATAGGAAGATGTGGGCCAGTAGGGTGGGCGTTCTTGACTGGTCCAGGGGTGGGAGTGACATGGTCACACAGGGAGTTGTGCGTAACTAGAGGCTGCAGAACACAAAAGAAGAGACAGGCCTCATCTGTAGGGCAGGAGGCTTGCGGGGAAGTACAGGAAGGCTTTAGGGAATGTGAGTTTCTTTGTGCACCACCTACCAGGGGTGGTAGGTGAGGTCTCTGGGGGTGAAACCGCATCTGTCATTGAATTGCCAGACCTTCGAAAGGACAGCTGCCTCCAAGCCCTTTGCCATGGTCAGTCCTCTGACCTTACTCAGTCACTATAAATAGCAGTCAGCAGTCTCTTCTCTTGATCTCAGAGAGAAGCAAGTTTTAAAAGTCTTTGAAGAAGATTTGCGAGCTGGCTGGGGTGGAATGGTGAGTTGCAGGTGCCCCCATAGATGGAGGTTCAGAAGGACACTGTCCTCTTTATTCTGCATCTCCTCGCATGACACCAAGACTGTGAAGGGAATAGAAAATGTAATTGAGAAAAATAACCTGCAGATATAGTATATGATGTCAGGTCTTTTCTGAGTTCTAGTCACTAGTTTATATTCTACCCTATTTAACATCTTGGGGACAGGAGTCCCTCCAGCCAGATAAAGTGGGAACAGATTTTCAATGGGCTGTCTCAGTACAAACACTCCCAGTTGATTATACCAACAACCAGCTGTTGTGGCCTAGCTTCTGTGAGGAGGGAGATCTATACTGCCCTCAGTAGCTCTGCCTGTCCTAACCTTGAAGGTTGGGGGTTATATGATGAATCTTCAGATAGCTTTATGTATTTTTCTAATTTCCTGTCTTGTGCACTTAAGCTACATGATCTTATCCTTACAGAACAGTAGCACCAGTGACTAAAGGAACAGAATGTTCTGGATGCCTGCTTCAGCTAGCCTAAAGCACATGGCTCTGCACAGCTATCTTGATTTGTTCAAGGCAGCTCTGGGGACTCATCTGCAGCCCTAGATAACTGGCACCTTGGAACTGTTAGCCTTGTTCCTTAACTTTCCTGTCTCCCTGCATCAGGTTTTTCAAGGAAGGAAAATGAAATCCTTCCAATGTGTCATTTTCATTTCTATCACTCTCTACACAAATTATAATTTCCTCTTTTTGACTTTACTAGGAAGCAAAGTAGAATTTAAATGATCCTTTTCCAGAAGGGTACCTCCCTACCTTTGGTTAAGTCTACATCCTTTGGTGGCACCTCAGTGTGTTGATCAGGACACGACAGAATGGGGTGAGGAAGCTAACGGGACCAAGGATCCTGATATTTGAGAAGGACTCAGTAAGCTGGCTGAGCAGTTCTAGCCTCAGGAACGCTGGCGTCTGGTTTTGGGGTATCCCCGTCCCCACCTTCAGTCCTGTGAGGACTTTGCTGTTCCGCTGGGAAGGAGCACAAGGGCAGGTGGGGCTGCTGCTGTGACCTGACCAGACTACCAGGGACAGGCAGAAGCAATGGCTGTGGCTCTTATGGGGCCTCTGCATTTCTTCAAGCAAGTCAGTGAACAAACCAAGCAAGTCTCCAAAAGCTGTGCAGCATCCCTGACCTGGGAGTGCATTTCTATAGTCTGCCTGGCAACTCTCAGAGAAGTGAGGTGCAAGAGACGGGCAGCCCAGGTATGGCGAGTGAACAGGGCCAAAGGGGACCTGTGGGGTGCAGAAAGGGCTTGCACCGTGAGACAGGGGGCAGAGCACCTTCTCCTTGACATCTCAGGCCCCTGAGTTCTAAAGGACACTGGGATTTTTTTCTCCCTTCCTGTTTTGAACCTTCTAGCTTTAAGGAAGCTTGACATACACTGCCCGAATTTTCTGACCTTGTCCCTTCTCAGCCTAGAAAGTGACAGCCCTCATTCCTCCTCTGCTCCTTGCTGCATGGCTTCCAGAGATGGAATTGCCCTGTAGGGCAGGCCTGTCCCTTTATGAATCAGGCTCTTGGGCCTCTTAAGATTTGGTTGGGAGCCATGTGGGTGACACACTGGCCTCAGTATGATCAGCGAGAAACAAGGTGTCTTGTGGAGATCTGCTCCTGAGCATTTTTGGGGAACTAGACCTCAGGTGAGGACAGGCAGTGCCCTGCCTTACACCTACTCACTTCAGTTTTCAGAACATTTTAAAATGGCAGCTTAGAAATATTAAAGTATTAAAAACAAGAAGTATTAGAACAGTACTTCCTAGTGCTTCTTGTTTACCCAGCACTGTAGGAAGTGATTGCCTACTTTAACTCGTTCAATCTCACAGTTCTCCCTGAAGTAGGCACTATTTTTATCTGCATCTTAAAGAGAGGAAAGCAAGAAGCAAAGAGGTTATGACTTACCTGACATCATGGAACCAGTAAATGTGGGTAGCGAGAGTTGAACACAGGAAGTCTGGCTCAAATCTGTTCCCTCGACCACTGGGCTGCCTGCTTTTACAAAGCCATGAGTTTTCAGGGTACTGAACAATTAATGAGAACACGTTTGGGGGGAGGGGAAGCAATAAACATACCTTCCTCGCCTCCCTCACATCACCCTTTGCTTCCGTTCCCCCCACCACCATTTTGCTACCTGAATCCCTCCCCTAGCCTAACAAGGCCTTTGAACCTTCCTCTTTCTTGCATCTTTTTTTTTTTTTTGTTTGGTGATGCTGGGAATTGAACCCAGGGCCTATGCACGCGAGGCAGGCACACACTACCCACTGAGCTATATCCCCAGCCTAACCTTCCTCTTTCTGCACTAGCATCATCTATTCATGGTTCCTCCTGTGCTTTGCGCACCTTGCTCCCTCTACCTTGAGCAGGTGCAAGCAGCCCCTCAGGCTCCAGGGTTCCTAGGTGGGCCTCCTCATTCCTTACAGAGTCCTTTGCCCTCATTTTTTACAGAACTGTGCAGGTCTTCTGTACATCTGTGTGACTGCAGATGAGCAGTTCCAGAAACAGGTCAGGTGGTGCTGGAACACAGCCTGTTGGACAGTGTTATAGCAGCTGGTCTTGCCTATCCTATCCCATTGGTACAGGTTCTCTGCCTGATCATGAGGAACATCACTCAGCCTGGCTGAGCTTCCTCAGCCATGGAAATGGAGATGGCAATCCCAGGGTTATTCGTGGAAAGTTTTGAGCCTAGTACTGATCATAAATCTGTCCACCCTTTGCCTTCCTCATTGTTTTGTGGATGTCTGCTGCATCTCTAGATGGGAGCCCTACATTGGACCCTAACAACTAGCCTTATGCTGGTCCATAGCACCTGCCAATACGTACACGTGAGGAAACAAACATACCCTCCGCACTGGATGAATTTGAATTGAATTGCATGGGGGAGGAATGGCTTTGGATATCCTCAGCTGTCAAGGTTCTTTTCTGTTCCCTTAGAATGTGCCAAAGTCTTCCATGCTGCAGGTGCTAAGCTGGTGCTCTGTGGTCGGAATGTAGAGGCCCTTGAAGAACTCACCAGAGAGCTCACTGCTTCTCATACCTCCCAGGTGAGCCCAGGGCATGTTTTCCAAGGGGAAGGGCTCCGGTAGCCCCCTTAGGAGACAGCAGGCCACTCTTGGGCTGCTGGACTGAAGAACATTTGTGTGGTCAAGCTGTACAGGGGAAGCAGCAGGACTCCAAGCAAAGGGGGCCACAGCCTGAGGAGGGACTGTCTTCACATCCCACATTGCCACCACTGACTAGGCTGTGGATTGAGGAAGTTCCTTCTGTGGGAATGCTTTCCCAGCCTTTTACCTGGCTTATCTCCACTCACCTGGTGGGGATTGATGATGATTTAAGATTTTTTAAATTGTTTTAAAATAACACACACACACACACACACACACAGCCTACATTTTGTTTATCCATCCATCTGTCAATGAATAGCCTGTTGGTGAACTTGGGTTGTTTGTGCTTTTTTACTATTGTGAACAGTGCTGCTATGGATGTTGGTGTTAAGAGTCCCTGCTTTCCATTTTTTTTTTTTTGATGTATACCTAAGAGTGAAATTACTCAATGATATGGGTAGTTTTGTTTACTTTTGAAGAGCTGCCAAATTGGTCTCCAGAATAGCTGCACCACTTTACATTCCTGCCAGTAATGCACAGGAACTGGTTTTCCACACTTGACATTTTTGGTGATATTGTTGGTGATGGTGGTTTTTAACTATACCCATCCTAGGAAGGGTGGGTTTTATAGTTTAAACTCTTACATTTAGGTCTTTGTTCTATTTGGGTTATTTTTATATGTGATATTAGGTAAGGGTCTAATTTCATCATTTCATGTGCATATCCAATTCTCCTAAAACCCATTTTTTGAAGTCTATTCTTTCTTCATTGAATGGTCTAGCACTGTTGTCAAAAATCATTTGGTCATGGTTGGGCATGGTGGTACACACCTGCAATCCCAGCAACTTGGAAGGCTGAGGCAAATGGATTGTAAGTTCAAGGCCAGCCTCAGCAACTTTTTAGCAAGACCCTATTTCAAAATAAAAAATAAAAAGAGTTGAGGATGTAGCTCAGTTGAAAATGCTCCTGGGGGTGCTGGGGATGTGGCTCAAGCGGTAGCGCACTCACCTGGCATGCATGCGGCCCGGGTTCAATCCTCAGCACTACATACAAACAAAGATGTTGTGTCTGCCGAACTAAAAAAAAAATAAATAATATTAAAATTCTCTCTCTCTTTAAAAAAAAAAAAAAATGTTCCTGGGTTTAATCTCCAGTACTGGGGAAAAAAAAAAATTGATCATATATTTGAAAGTGTATTTCTGAGTTCTTTATTCCATTCCATTGGCTGATATGCTTGTCCCTTGTCAATAATATGCTGTCTTAATTACTGTAGCTTTGTAATAAGTTTCAAAATCAGGAAGTGTGAGTGCTTTAACTATGTTCTTTTTCAGGATTCATTTGCTATTGAGGGGCCATTGCAATCCCATGTGAATTCTAGGATTTTTTTTTTTTTCCTGCAAAAGATGCCATTGGGGGCTGGGGTTGTGACCTAGGAGTAGGGCACTTGCCTAGCATGTGCAAGGCCCTGGGTTCAATCCTCAGCACTACAAGAAAATAAATAAATAAAATAAAGGTATTGTGTCCAACTACAACTAAAAAAATAAATATTAAAAAAAGCCATTGGGATTTTGATAAGAATTGCATTGAACTTATAGATCACTTTGGTAGTATTGTGAAATTAACAATATTGACATCCAATCCATGAATATAGGATGTCTTTCCTTGTATTTGTGTCATTTTTAATTTTAGTCAGCAAATGTCTTCAGTGTAAAAATCTTACATTTCCTCGGTTAGATTCATTCCTCAGTATTTCCTAACATCTTTTGCTTTCCTAACATCCTTTTCACAATTTATTGTTCCTGTATGGAAATAGCTGATTTTTTGTTGTTGGTGGTGTTTTGATCTTGTACCCTGTAGCTTTGCTGAATTTTTTAGTTAGCTCTTAATAGCTTTCATGGGATTTGCTGCCATTTTCTATATATAGAATCATGTCATCTGCAAACAGAGATAGTTTTATCTCTTCCTTTCCAATATGGGGGACGTTTTCTTGTCTCGTTGCTTCAGTGAGGACTTCCCAGTGCAGTGTTGCACTTTACATCTGTTGGGATGCCCTCCACGTTGTGTTGCTTAGCTACTCATTTCTCTAGCACAGGACTTTATAGCATTCTTCAGAGTTACAGAATTAATCTGTGCCTCAGAGGGATAGGTTGTTGGCTTCTGCTATGTCCTCATTACATGGTATATGTAAATATTATTTCATGAAGAAATGAGTAAAAGTGACTTAACCTGAGAAGAACAGGACCCCTCTGTGAGCCACTGAACGTATTAAAGTTGGATAGCACAAAGCAGCAAGGATAGCTATGGTTAATAGCTTCTGTGGTTACCTGCTACAGCAGTCCACACATATGTGACCTGTCCTGGGGAGCTTACAACTGGACTGCTGAAAGTAGGAGAAGCCCAGGTCATATCTCATGAGGTGCAGGCAACTTTAGTTCAAGATTAGAGTTGTCCAGGTCAGGGGTGACCACTCTAGGCAGGGTCACCCTGTAGGCCTCATCTCTTCGGAAGAGGACTGCTGCTGTAGCACATGTTGTTTCGTCTCCATTATGTCACTCCCTGGACTCTGAAAAGCAGGGACACATAGCTATGGGGCCTGTCACTTATCAGGTATATTTGGTGTCTTGTGTTTGGCCAGAAGCAGACGCACAAGCCTTACACAGTGACCTTCGACCTCGCAGACACGGGGGCTACTGTTGCTGCAGCAGCTGAGATCCTGCAGTGCTTTGGCTATGTGGATGTACTCATCAACAATGCTGGGATCAGCTACCGAGGGACCATCACAGACACCACAGTGGATGTTGACAAGAGGGTCATGGAGACAAACTACTTTGGCCCTATTGCTCTAACAAAAGGTAACAGTCTTGGGTTTAAAGAGGAAAGAGTGTGATACGTTGGCATCCTTTTTGTTCTGCTCAGTTCCTCTTAGGCTGCATGCCGCCTACCCCCATTTGCTGTTTTACCCTGCTGTGGGTGTGGTCACTGTAGTTTGAATGTTTGCTTTTTGCAGGTTTCTATTAGCATTCTCTCTGTGTTAGCCCTTTATCAGGGTCTTCCTCTAGCCACAGCCTCCTTGGCTAGCACTGCCTTGCTGTGGTGTCTGCAGACTCCTTTGTGGTGGGGATATTTTGATATCTAGCCAGACTTCAGTCCAGGGAACAGACTCCTCATAGGACAGGGAACTGTGCTGCCCATTGTGGGTGGTTACTCTGTCTGTGGACTTCCTCCTGCCTCTTTCCTCTGCTGCATGGCTCTCCATCCTGAGGAGCTGTCAGGCACAGTGACTGGAAGATGGTGTCTAAATCCCTGCCCTCTCCCCTCAGCACTCCTGCCCTCCATGATCAAGAGGAGGCAAGGCCACATCGTCACCATCAGCAGCATCCAGGGCAAAATCAGCATTCCTTTTCGATCAGCATGTGAGTCCCCCCACCCCCCCCAAAAAAAAAAAACAAACATTTTTGTCTTCTTCTTATAAAAATAACACGTTTACCGTCCTGAAATCAGACATTGAAGAAATACCCTACATGGAACGTGAAGGAAGTTCATCAGAATGTGTTCTCTGGAGCCACATACCTGGGGTCAAATCCAGCACTGCTTCTTACCCACTGTGTAACCTTGGGCAGGTGTCCCCACCTCTCTGTGTTCATCTGTATTTGCACATAGGTACAAGTCCCAGCCCCAGTCTAAAGGAGCTGCTGTGAGTACAGTGTCTGGAGAGCTCTGCCCTGGGCGCTGCACACACTGCCTCTCTTACTGTGTTGTTTACTAGCGTCAGCCCACTGATAAGGTTATTTTATCACTTTGGAGCATTAGCCTCCAATTTTTTTCTACATGTAATCAAACAAAATTGGGATCATGCCAGTTGCAGTAGCACATGCCTGTAATCCCAGCAACTCTGGAGGCTGAGGCAGGAGGATTGCAAGTTCAAGGCCATCCTGGGCTTAAAATGAAAAGGGCTGGGGATGTAGCTCAGTGGTAGAGCACCCCTGGGTTCAATCCCCAGGACTAAAAAAAGGGAGGGAGGGGGAGGGGACCCCATCATGCATGCTCTTTTGGAGCTTGCTTGTCCCACCTGGCTGTCTGACTTTCCATACCAGCACATGTGGATTTACCTTATCCTTTTAAGTGGGTTTATAATAATATGTTGAGTGGATGTTTGAGGAGCTTTTCCCCTTTTCAGTGCTTTGAGTGATTTGCCACAGAGAACATCCTTGAATGTTCATATCTCTGGGCACTTAGAGGAGGGGTTTCAATACGATGAGTTCCAAGAAGCATAAATATTAGATAGGACCAAATAATTAAAACTGCCAAGTTGACTTCCAGTTTACAGGTTTCCCTCCACGTAGGTGTCATTTCTTCTGTCGCTCTGCCCTCACGTTGTACCAGCAAACACACAGAATGTAGTTGTTGGTGTTTGGGGTTTTTTAAAGACTTTAAAGGGCACTTCACAAACTGTCTCAGTAGCTCCTTTCTTTTCTTTTTTTTTTTTTTTAAAGTCGGATAACCCAGCCAAGAAGCGCGTGGTTTCCTTTCTTTTTTTTTTTTTTAGAGAGAGAGAGAGAATTTTAATATTTATTTTTTAGTTATCGGCGGACACAACATCTTCGTTTGTATGTGGTGCTGAGGATCGAACCCGGGCCGCACACATGCCAGGCGAGAGCGCTACCGCTTGAGCCACATCCCCAGCCCTCAGTAGCTCCTTTCTTTGCTTCATCTTCTGAAAGAAAAATATGACTTGGGACAGCCTCACCCGCTCTCAGTCACTTCCCAAAGCCAGCCAGGGCCCGGCACAGTGAAGGAAGCTTGGGCTGTGTCAGCAATTTGAAAACACAGTAATACTCTGCTTGATGATAAGATGGAGCAACCATTTGCACTAAAGATGGAACAGAATCGTGTTCTTCCCCCCGAGGTCTTAATTCCAGCTACATCTTTTGGTTTTAGTTGTATGTGCTTGGATCAGTCACTTAACTTTTCTGACCCTCAGTTTCTTACCTATCAGTGTGACTTATAGTCATCATACATTTCCCAGGGCTGGTACCAAGATGAAATGAGGCAACTAGAGATGTCCTATGTAAACTGGAACAATATTTGTTTCTATAGTTGTTATTTATCTTTTTGCTAATATTCCATGTCAACCCTTAGAGCATACACAGGCAGTCACTTAAGGCTGCCAAAATGATCCCCCACCCCAAAACCACCATGTATAATCACAGATAATCATGCAAGTAAGGTAGAATGTTAATAGATAAATCAGGGTAAAAGATATACAGAGTTCTTTGTATTAAATTATTTCCACATTTTACTTTGATTACACCCCACTGATTTCTATTCTCTAATTGACTTGCTGACTATAGTAGGTGTGCAAGAAGGGTTTGGATGCAGTACGGTGACTAGACTGAATCTGGCTGTGCCTCCTGGGCAAGTGTGTCAGCTCAGCCTCCTCTCCCTTCTGCTGCTACCAGGAGAACCACATCAGGAGAAGCCATGAACTGTAACACTGCAGTGCAGAGGAGGGACGAAGTGATGGTGACAGTGTGACAGGAATGGGCTGCACAACAGGCTGAGAACCCATAGCCTAAGAGCTTGAGACCCAATCATTGTGTGGCTTCTATCGTGGAGACCCCAAGGATGACCCACTCTTCCTGCCCTTGGGCCTTGGCTGCCCCCTGGAATTATTCACTCCCCTAAAATCTACTCATCTAGCCCTGGAATCACTGCCCAAATACAGTCTAGCTGCTTCCTGTGACACTTCCTTGCTTTTCTCCTTCCTGTTTACTTGGCTGAGAGAAGCCCTTTTTTATTAAGACTAAAACGTTTAGGACCCAACTACAGGAAATTGATTTGCTGTGTTTCCCAAGAATATCACTGTAGGGTTACCCCCTCAGAGCACCTTCCATTAGATTGGGGAGCTGCTGCTGAGGAGCACAGGTGGCTCTGTCTCTTGCAGATGGTGCACTTTCTAGCTTCTAGTTGAAAGTTCCTGCCTAGTTTGCAAAGGGAAGTACATCAGAAGCAAGCTTGGACATCATACACATGTGTGCAGGCAGGGATGCTCAGGGGTAGCGTGCTTAGCAGTGATAAAAACTGGAAGAGACCCATAAAGGTCCACTGATGGGGCCAGATCTGTCACCTGATGATCCCTTGGGGAGGATCAGGCAGCCAGAGCCATGTGATGGGTGGGTCTGCAGGGCCATCACAGAAAGTTACTTGCAGGAATAAAAGGAAGAGTATGAGCTCATTTCTGTAAAAGAAATGTAAGATCCCATCTTATATCTGTACCTGTACATAACAGATCCAAAAATAAATCCTAAGAAACGGCATTGTTCACCTCTGGGAACAAAATTGGAAAGCAGGACTTTTGCTTTTTTACTTTATGAGCATTAAGCTTTTGTTTAACTTGGAAAAATTTCAGACTTAAAGAAGAATTGTAAGAACAGCAGAAACATGCACCCTTCACCAAGATTCCCCAGTTAACATTTTCCCTTATTCTCTTATGAGTGAATTTACAATTATTTTTTCTCAGCCATGTGAGAATTTGGTGACAGATTCCCCCTTTATGCCTAACCACTTAAGATTTCCTAACAACAAGGACATAGAGCACTTCTCAAATCAGGAAATGAATATTGCTATAAGGCTTAAATCTTACATTATAAAACCATGTTTTAAACAGAGAGTAAATGGGAGTGAGTAGGTGGGCCTTGGGCCCTACCCACCTTGGCACACTCACTCCCTCTCTGCCCATGTTTGCAGATGCAGCCTCCAAGCATGCAACCCAGGCCTTCTTTGACTGCCTGCGTGCTGAGATGGAAGAGGATGGGATCCAGGTGACTGTCATCAGTCCCGGCTACATCTATACCAACCTCTCTGTAAATTCCATTACTGCGGATGGGTCCAGATATGGAGGTAAGGCCTGGTTGCTCTTGTATGAAAAGCTATCGATCAGCCCTAGTGAAATGTGTAGCTCTTACCTACCCCAGTGATTGTTGTCATTTTTCATTTAGAATATGATTTTTAAAGCTGAAAAACTTGGCATGGTGTTGGCTGTAGGTACCGATTGTTATTTAATCTTCACTTACCACCAAGAACTGACCTTAGCCTGAGCATCACCACTAGAGCTTTCAGAACAGGAGGCCTAGAGGTAGAGGACTTAGTGGAATAGAAAGGAAGTCCCTAACCTGAATTGCCCCTAAACAGCCAGCTAACGTATTTCTAGATCCCAAGGCCCAAATAGTATTTTCTTTTTTTTTTAGTGCAGGGGTGGGTACCCAGGATTGAACCCAGGGCGCTCAACCACTGAGCCACATTCCTAGCCCTATTTGGTATTTTATTTAGTGACAGGGTCTTAGTTGCTTAGCTCCTCGATGTTGCTGAGGCTGGCTTTGAACTCGCAATCCTCCTGCCTCAGCCTCCCGAACTGAGCTGCTGGGATTACAAGCGAGTACCACTGCACCAGGCCCAAGAAGTATTTTCACTATCAAGACTAAGGGAATTAACTTTGGGGCAAGTGTGGGCGGCTTGACCTGAATGGTCCCTCCTCAGTATATTGGAGAAATGACTGGCTTCAGGAAGAGTCTTCAGGGTAAGGCTGAGTACGGTGCAGTAATCTCCATCTTGCTTCAGTCAGAGGCAGCACCGAGGCTGACCTGCAGTCACCATTTGTGGGCTGGGCAGCCCCCCACCAGCATGCAAGCCAGGCAGACAGCAGTCAGCTACTGCTTCTCAAGTTAGGCAGCCCATGAGTTCTAAAGCTGCTGAAGCCTGCCTGCCTGCCTGCCTGCCTGCCTGAACTCAGAACAGAACTGCCCATCTCTACAGTATGTTCCACTGTGTCCTGCCTCCCTGGCTGTGGTCTCTTGCAGGTCTGTGCTGCAGCATCTGCCAAGGACATGCTGGGCTTGCACCCACCCCAGCCAAGTTTGAACCAAGACTACCCTGTCCTGGGTGGCAGCTGCTCTCTTCCTAAAGCAAATCTCTCTGTGGCACTTTACAATTAAGCACTTTACAATTAAAAACTTCCCATTCTTTCATTAACCACAGTGAGAACAGATTCTGGTGAGAAAGCTCGGGCAGACTGGATAGCTTCGGGAAGGTATCAAACTGGGTGTGCTAGTGGCCTGTGCCTGCTGACTGAGCCTACTCTGCTGGCAAAATGTCAGATCACTAGTAAAGAAGGGTTAGTAACCTTTACTAACCCTAAACTACCCATAGCTGTCTTCTCCAACAGCTTAAAGTGAATGACAGGTTTCTTCCTGTCCCTCATCCAGCTAACACGAAATTGGGAGTTGGGACATCTGTCTACTCTCTACTCAGCTGGTGGTACATGTATGGGTCAGAAGGCCCTCCCCACTTCAAGAGATGGTACAACAGTCTCGACTCATTTGTTGTTCCAAGAGCAAAAATGTCCAAGATCAGGAAGCTGCTGCTCAGGTGTGAGGGGCTTGCTCTATGAGACCCTACCTTGGCCGGCCTTCTGCTTTTGTCATCAGACCACCAGGCAGATGGACTCACATTGGTTCCCATCACTGACTGGGGTCCCCAGTCTGTCTTGTCCCCATATTCCACCCATATCTCCCTTACCCTCACTTACTTACTTAGAAACACAAAATGGTTCCTATTTCCTCTGGATATAACACCTTCAGGGATAGGGGCATGCCACCTCCTTCCTGGCAGACTCTGGGAACAGCTTCACAGTGGGGAGTGCAACAAGCTGACCTAATGGCTCCCGTCAGCTCCAGTCCTCAAGAGAAGGTCCTCTGCTTTCTAGTTCATGTGTTGCTTTTCTTCTTTTAGCTGTTGACAAGAACACAGCCCAGGGCCGAAGCCCTGCAGAGGTGGCCCAAGATGTTCTTGCTGCTGTGGGGAAGAAGAAGAAAGATGTGATCGTGGCTGACTTGCTGCCTTCCTTGGCCATTTATCTTCGAACTCTGGCTCCTGGGCTCTTCTTCAGCATCATGGCCATCAGGGCCAGAAAGGAAAGAAAATCTAAGAATTCCTAATCCTGGCCAGAGCTAGCAGCTCCAACCAGTTTGAGCTAGGATGAGAAGCAACACTTCCCCAGGCTTGACTGCTCTTCAAGGGACAGCTGTGCTTGAGACTTTAATGGCAATTTGCCCTCCAGGTGGAAAAGACTGAAGAAACTTTTCTCCTGCAGGTCCATGATGCAACCCCAGGCAATGAGCTTCTTCCTAGAGGTGAGGGATAAGCACTTAAGGAATAAATATGGAGATGGGTTTCAACTGTAAAAACATGAAATAAATGATAGGAATAGTAAGAGTCATAAACCTCAGTGACTAGAAGAACTGAAACATGTCCTTTGAATTCCAGCCTTGATGACTCCTAGAAAACTATCTTGGAATCAGATGTTATAACATCACCTGACTCAGTTGTTCGAGTTTGACATATCCAAGACCACTTAACCCATTTGCTTTGGAGGGGACACCACCAGCACTTGGGAGAGAAGGTTGTATTTTTAGGAAATCATTATTCATATCCCTTTCCAGGATCCTGTGATAGCCCATTTGATATAGAAAATGGTGGGCTACTGTGTGATGGGTTCTATGGCACATCCCAAGTGATCCTGGCTTTAGCACCAAAAGCTATTCCTATGTTCCTTCTCACTGTAACCACAGCCTTAGAGGATGCCAGGCACCATTCAAGCAGATGAATTTCCTAAAGAGGCAGCAACCAGAAGGGAGACCTCTGCATGGCCCTAGACATCCTCTAGGAAAAGAAACCTTTGGAGACTGGCCTGGTGAGCAGAGCTGAAGCAGCAGCTAGTTTCCAGGTAGAAGGAGTTCATTTGCTGATTATAGCCAGAGAGAAGGCCTGGGTCCACCTTTGATTTATTAAAAGTACACAGTTGAAGTTCTTGAGTGAGTCACTTCATTTAGGGAGAAGTTTTCCTATTAATGAGAATGAAGTTGAAATAGTAGGTCCACTGTAGGCTTCCCCAAATTGGGATAAAAATCTCCTAGCATATGATGTTGATGTCTGCACTGACCTAACTCTGGCTCTGTTCACCTTTTGTTGTAAACAGTTGCCTCTGACAGGAGCCTGGGGTTAGGGCTCTGGAGGATTTTAAGTTTCTTGGGAGTAGACGAACAAGTGAATGATTAGCTGGGGCCCTGGCTCACAGCACATCCTGGACATTCCAGACCCTTGGGTAAAATGTGAATATACACAAGATGGGTGGTTCTTCATCTTGCACAGGAATCACCACCCCACTCCTGACATCAGAGAGAGGGTTTCTTAGTGTCTAGGGATGCTGGGGCTGAGACAGCAGCAACTGTTCCAGAACTAGCCCAGTCTCAAGTGAAGTGAAACTGGCAAGCATGTAGCAGCTTCAGGGATAGGGCTCCCTCTCTAAATGGAGCAAGAGAACACCTCTTCTTAGACATTTATTGACTGGCACTTTTAGAATGGCTCATGTCCAGCTGCTGTTCCTTTCTTGTCTATTAAATAAAACCATCAGCATTGGATATACTGCCCTCAAAATGAGAGTTCAGCAGTGGTGTCCTCCATCTTTAGAAGATAAGGAACTGCAAAGCCATTGGTGAGGGTGTTGCTCTGGGAGCCACCATGGTAGGTAGTTATGAGCCACCAAGCCTTATCAGCTTGCAGCTGTGGTGCAGGGAGCTTGGAGCACCTCAAGTTCACTTCTGGTGGACATGTGGTGGTTTCTTTGCCTAACATTATTTAAAACTCACTTTCTAAGATTTACTTTAGAAACTCTCTACATATTTTGACATATAAAGTATAATGTAAAATATAATTATTAACTGGGCTCTTCTTCAGCATCATGGCCTCCAGGGCCAGAAAGAAGAGAAAATCTAAGAATTCCTAATCCTGGCCAGAGCTAGCATAGATATGGCTACTTGCCAGAGGCTGAACATGGGACACCCTGCTCTTGAGGTTGGCAGATTCCAGGGAAGCTTTAATGTCAGAGGGATGCTCTTGGCCTCAGAGACCACAGCCCAAAGGGCCGGTCATCAGTGTGCTTCAAGTTCCCTGTTGCTCCTACAGTGTTATTTCAGGTACCTCTGGAGCTAAGCAAGCCTTTCTGGATAGAGTGCTGGTTTGGACAAATGGGAGACCTCCTGAGGCCGCCTGTCCTCATGTGGAGGGCAGCTGGTACATCCTCCTGGGGCCAAGCCTCCACCTGCCCAGCCTGCCTGGCGAGCTTATTCCAAGAGGGCAGCTCACCACAGCCTGGCTTTGGCTTGTGGACTCTGAATAACCTTCATTTTAATCTTGGATTTTTCAAACCAGTGTTTGAATGTAAGCACTTGCCACCAGAGGTAGCAGTGTTGCTGCAGTTCCAGTTTAGCTTTTCTGTCATTGGGGGTTTTTCTTTTTTTTGTTGTTGTTGTTTTGTTTTGGGATCACTTTCAATCTTGAATTCTGTAGGGAGGTCTGAAAACCACGACATTTAATTGGTTCTGCCTTCAGATATCTGATAAAGTTCAAAGACACTTTCCACTTTCCTTTCCAAACCTTTTGGTGTTCCGCTGGTGCTTGGGCAAGAGCAGGCCATCTTATGCTTCCTGCCCAAAACCGAGACTGAAAACTAAAACTAGCTTTTTCTTCTCAGCCAGCATGGCTCTACGCAGTGTAGAGGGGGAAATGGTGAGGACATGGCTCCTTGGGCATATAGCCTGGCTCACAGCAAGTCTCCCAGCCTCCTGAGACAGGTGGGTGTCCCAGTGCTAGACCAGATGTGAAACTTGGAGGAGCCGAGAGGCTGTGGAGGAGACACAGGTGGAAAGAGCCAGCCAGGGTCTGCCCTTCACATTGCCTGGTTAGTTGTCTCTGCTTCTCTAAAACTGGATGGGGTGGGTAGTTAAGATTAAAGTGGTTTGCTAGATTAGTTACACGACCCATTCCCTTAAATGACCCACGTGGGACTTGGGCGGATTTTCCACAGCAGGACCTCTGGGTCATGTGGCCTTTGCTTCCTCTCAATTATCAGTTACTGAAAGCTGTATGACACAGGTGAGCATGAGCCACTTGTCGAGGACCCTGCTGTGTGTGACAGCCTCTCTGGGCAGGAGGGAGGTATACGTTGGCTGCTCCCAAGGCCTTGCCTGGGTCACACCAATCCCTGCCCTGCTGTCTGCAGAGGCACTGCAGCTTCACTTGTATGACCAGGGACCACATAACTACGATGGCATTTCACAACCTGGGTTGGTACACCCAACAAGAGACACTTCGTTAAGTGTGGCCTGGGAAATGGCAAAGGAGCGTCCGTTTGTACCTGGTTTCTATTTTGGTTGAGGGCATCTCCTTGGCTGACCTGAGGTCCCACAGCCTGTCCAGTTCTAGCCACCTCCCCCATGAAATCTGATGTGCAGAAAGAGCACAGCTAGGCCAGTCATGGGGCTCCCTTTCCAACTCTGAACCTGTCTGTCACAAAAACACATACCTTGCTGTCCTGCCCAGCAGGCTTGGAAGCCAGTGCTCAGAGCCTGAGTTGTGGGCAGCGCATTTCAGCTTGTCCTGCACAATTGGGATGAGGCCTGTTTGTCCAGGATCTCTTGTAGTTATCATTTTATTGTTCCCACTGGCCAAAGGCCAGCATGTAAACAATACTGTACACCTGACATTTTATCACTCAACAATTCAAGGACACTATCAAAGTTTAAAATGTTTCGTGGGCCATGGTACTCTTAGAAGATTTGGATCTCCCCTACCAAAACGGCGTAACCGCCCCAGAGCCTTGCTGTGTACCGTGGGTGAAGCGCCCTCATGGCTCTGTGGCACAGCTGGGTGAAAGGTCAGCCTGTCTGTCTCCTGAAGACTGTCCTTCGTAAGTGCTGTGTGGCTGTGAGGGGAGAACTGGGCCACTGAGGCCTCGGCCTTTATAAAGGGGTCTATTGTCCATTTATCCAAAACCTCAGCAGGAGTGTGGCAGACAGTGCATAAGATGACTTTTGGCTGAGGAAGGAGCCCAGCAAGGGGCTGGGCTGCTGTGGATTAGCCCCCAAGGTTATCCAGGGTGCTTTCCTGATAGTTTCCAGGGCTCTTCCCTTGGCCTAGGATATGGGTTGAATTTGGTCCACATCAGGAACAGCTGTGGGTGCTTTAAAAAACCAAAGATGTTAGCACCTGTGTCCTCCTAAATCAGAATTTCTGGACAAAGGCTTCTGGGCCCCAGAATTTCCCAAAAGGGAACCCAAAGAGAGACTCATGATCTCAAGGCACCATCACTTTACCATGTCCCTGAACACCAGCATGCCAGCAGTGCTGACCCCAACCACAGCAAGGCCAAGGTGAGCCAGGCTATCTGGGCAGGGGCTGCTGGCCTCAGGACCTCAGATCCAGACCTGTTCTTGCTAAGTGGTGACACTAGGCTGCAATGAGGAGCAGAAGGTGTCCGTAGTGCCTGCATAACTCAGGTGCAGCGGGAGCTGCAAGCACCATTATGGACAGAGAGAACAGCAGAAGTTGAAATTCTCATAATTTTAATAATGGTCAATAGCTTCTGGTTGGCTCTGAATGGTACAGTTAAACAATATACTTCAAGACCCCCCCAAAACGCGTTCACACCCCCTCAGTAGCGTTGGCTTCCATCCACATTCCACTGCCCAATCAGACTTCCACAGCCTCAGAACCCCTCCTGGGTTATGGAAATCCACACCTTAGTGTAATGAGCTGAAAAACCCCTTGGTATACCCATGATCTGTATTCTTTTTTAAAAATGACAAGTATTAAACCAAACACCTTCCCAGGCTGCCTTGCAGAGCAAGAAGGGTTAATGCGGCAATCTGAATCCTCTCCTCTCTCGCGGGCTGTGTGGCTCTGCTCCTCTCCCTGCTCTACTGAAGTCATACAGCGTAGAGTTCGTAAATCTTCTTTACACAGTACACCAGGGCGGCCAGTGCTATCGTGTTGTGCAGTCTCTTTCTGTGCAGGTCGTCCTTCCGGACCAGCACCACCGGGGTGGAGGAGGTGAGTGTGTGCAGAGGCAGGCGGGACAGTTTATAGGCATCGTACTCCACTTGGTACTTGCAGCAAGGGTCAAACTGCCAGGAGATCCCGTAGAGGGTGCAGCAAGCCAGGCTCAGCGCACCAGCGGGCAGGGAGATGTAGTGGGAATAATCTAAGGGCAGTGCCAATGGGGTGAAGAGGCAGGCAGTACCCGCCAGCACGGTCGTCTTGTGCAGGCAATTGCCCACGGTGATCCAGCGCGCAGTCTCATCGCCGATGCGGGTGGGCTCGATCACAATGTACTTGTACTGGGCTTCCAGGGCCTGCTCCAGCTCATATTCAAACTGGTCTTGGGCGTTCTCCCCATTGTAGATCTCGTGCACAATGTAGCAGTCCGTGGCCGACAAGCTCACCCTTTGATGGGGGAGAAAGACAAGGCGGTTAGGCTGAAGCACTGGACTGGGTTTCACTAAGATGCTGGAAGCATCACTTATTTATTTATTTATTTATTTATTTATTTAATTTTTATTGTTGGTTGTTCAAAACATTACATGTTTCACACTTTGATTCAAGTGGGTTATGTGGAAGCATCACTTATGTGTTTATCTGCTCTAGAACCCAACAGACAAGATAATCAGTAAACATTTTTCTTTCTGAGAGAATGAAAGAACAAAATGAAAGATGCAGAAAAAGGGGTAACTGGTGCATCTGACAAGCCACCACACTGTATGCCAGCTTGCTGGGGAGCGTAGTGCGGCACCCTAGCAGACTGCCAAGTTGGCACACAGCCCAAAGGGAAAAAAGTGATTGCAGCACAGAATGCCACAGACCCGAACACAGCAGATGCACAAGGTCAACAGCTCGGAAGCTGTCTTGGATTGTCAAGACAACTGCAGTAGGGTTTTTCTATGGAAACCAACATACCCCTCAGGACATGATACTG